AAAAGAACAACAATAACAAAAACAACAGCAACTTTAACAAAAATATCTGTGGGATACGAAGTGAAATTAGACACAAAGATAATAGGCTTTAGAAAAGACTATATATATACACATAAGAAACTGAAGGAATTAAAAGTGAGGTTCTAAAAAAAAAAAAAAAAATAGATAAATAAATAAAAAGCTTCTAAGACTTTTATCCCGTTTTCTATGTCGCAGGACCTCTTGACCGACCAGAAGCGGCAGCGGGGAAGTGGGGGGACTATCGCAATTGTGACGCTCCTAAGTGGCTTCTGCAGGCTATGTACGATCATATTGCCAACACACACACAGTAAGTCAGCCAGCACTTTCTCTTTTACCTTTAGATTATCTGGTAATTTTTGGATTATGAGATTGAACATCTATCTATATCTATCTATATATCTATCTATCTATCTATTTATCTATCTATCTATCAATATATATTCATATATATTTTTTTCTAGTTAAGCAAGAGGTAATTTTGTAGCTAATAACTATATGTATATATATATATATATATATATATATATATATATATATATATATATATATATATATATACATACATATATATATATATATATATATATATATATATATATATATATATATATATACATACCTATCTGGACGGAGGACTTCTACATACTTATTCCTATACATCCACTCAAACTCTCCCTCTACATACACATCTACGTTCCTCACGCGTACTCAAAACCTCCCCACTTCGAGCAGGACCTCGATTTCATCATCTGGACGGGCGACCTTGTTCCGCACAACGTCTGGAATACATCGAGACAAGAGAACGTGGAAGTGATCAGGGAGACCGTGCAGATGCTGCGAGAGAGCTTTCCGGCTGTGCCCGTCTTCCCAGCGCTGGGAAATCACGAATCAACCCCTGTGAACTCGTAAGCTGCCGTGGGAGAAATAAAGATAGTAGATAGTAATAGTAGTAATGATAGTAGTAGTAGTAATCGTAGTAGAAGTAATAATAGTATTAGTAATAGTAGTAGTAGTAGTAATCGTAGTAGAAGTAATAATAGTATTAGTAATAGTAGTAGTAGTAGTAATAGTAGTAATAATAGTAGTCGTAGTAATCGTAGTAGTAGTAGAAATAGTAGTAACAGTAGTAGTAGTAGTAATAGTAGTAATGATAGTAGTAGTAGTAATTGTAGTAGAAGTAGTAATAGTAATAGTAGCAGTAATAGTAGCAGTAGTAGTAATAGTAATAACAGCAGTAGTAGTAGTAGCCGCAGCAGCAGCCATAAAAAAAACATGATGATAATGTTATGATTATGATAATGATATTAACAACAATAATAACGATTGTGGTAAAATAACAAATAATGATGCTTATATTGATAACTTGTTATTACCAAAGGGCAATGATAACAACGCATTAGGTTTCAGTTATTACTGTAGTTAAGATATTGATAAGAAGAGTCAATAATAGTGGCATGAAATATAAAGACTTTTGATACAACGGTGGTAGAAGCCACTACTATTCACGGAATTTGTTGGTACGAAGTTGCTTATCCAATGATTCAGAGGGCCAGAGAAATCAACAGTTATTTACGTATTTATTCGTTCTCTTTCACGTTCTGCAGATTCCCCCAGCCGTATATTGAGAACGAATTCGACATTTCTTGGCTGTACGACGAGATGGCAACCCTTTGGGAGACGTGGCTGCCCCAGGAAACAACTACTACTGTGGTCTATAATGCTTGTTACTCTACTCTGGTCAAACCGGGACTCAGGGTCATTTCCGTGAACTCCAACTACGGATATGGGTTTAACTGGTCGGTATATAAGTATATGTTGTAGGTGTTCCCATGTCTGATGTGGATATAGAAGTATGTGGATGTGGGTGTTGTTGTAGGTGTTCATTTATTTGTTATGCATTTAGGGTATTTAAAATGTATGGTATCATGTATGCATGTTTGTCCTTGTATATCCGTTGCTCATTCTCTCCCTCTCTCTCTCTCTCTCTCTCTCTCTCTCTCTCTCTCTCTCTCTCTCTCTCTCTCTCTCTCTCTCTCTCTCCCTCCCTCCCTCCCTCCCTCCCTCCCTCCTTCCTTACCTCTCTTTACCTCTCTTCTCCTGAAGAAGGGTAACCAAGCACATGTTCGATACAGGATATAATCGTCATTGTACACATTCACTACGTTATTGTGTAGTGAACGAACACTTATATGCTCGATACACTACACAGCACCGTACATGCCCTCAGGTGGATGCTATACGATGACAAGGACCCGGGTTCTGAGCTGCAGTGGATGGCAGAACAGCTACAATTAGCCGAAGATAACAATGAAAAAGTCTTTCTCATAAGTCACATTGCACCGGGAGACGTGGACTGCATCAAAACGTGGGGTCATCAATACAACAAAATCGTCGTGAGGTTAGATATTTTGATTTTTTTTTTTGGTATTTTATTTCATCTTGATTTTTATTTATTTATTTATTTATTTATTTTACGTT